TGCCTCCAGAGCCCAGGCAAGGCTGGTAGGTTCAAGCTGGATTTTGAAGTGCTGGGGTTCCAGGCTTCCTTTGCAGGCCATGGAAAGAAATGAGCACCACCTAAACCAGGCTTCAGGACAGAAGGGAAGAAGAATCTCCATAGAGGGACCCTGAGAGGTTGAACCATGCTTTAGATTTAACCACTCTTTAGATGTCAGATGTGCTGGGTCAGGCGTTCTCTATCTGATCATTGAGATCAGAGTCAGTGTCCCTCTTCTTGTCCTGGATTCCACGTTGCCCACATTTGGACACAGTCTGCATTGCAACCTCACAGCCCACTGTATTTCATTTTCCCCTGCAATTCTTCTTGTTACATGACATCAAATCATAGCGGGAAAGGAAACAAGAGAAAGAAAAAGCTTACTGGAGATTTTGCATGTTTGTCATCATAGACTTCATGGGAGTCTAGGGAATGCCAGAGCTGAGCTCCAGCCCCTGCTCCCTCCAAAGGAACCAAATGCCCACCAAATCCCAGCCTTTCTCTTTGACAAGTGATCACAGAACAGTTCGGGCTGGAGAGGACAGCAAGATCACCTAATTCCAACCCCTGCCATGTGATGTGTAACAGCGGCTGTAACCTGGTAGTCAGCAACAGGTTGGACAGCTGATGCATGTCACTGTGTATAAAGGCAAGGGAAAACAAACATCAATACTTCCTTGAAAGCTGGGCAAAACGAGAAAGTGGGAGAAGGGAGAGGAGGAGTTCAACATTGCCAGTATTTGCTTGCCAGTTATCATCATTTCTTATTGAACATGGGAAATGTTCTGTGTATATCATATCTATTTATCATAAAGCACTGTTCTCTGCATAGAAAAATAAACCCGAAGCAGGTACACCCGATTTACTTTGAAACAGTCACCCTAAGGCTGGCATTAGAGACTGAGCTGTGCTGCATGACCCATGCTGCAGTGAATGCATACAGCCTCATGTATGCTCTTCAGGAACACGCACTCTTTCGCACCAGCTCCCCTTACAGTCAAGCAGAGAGATGCTCAGTGCTAAAGGGCTCAGCTGCCTGCTGGCGCTGACCAGCTCACAGGGAGTTTTCACGTGTCTCAGTGGGCTGTGATGCATTCACCTTAGCTTTGGTACTTTGTGATGCAGCCCTGAAGTAGGGGGCAAGGCGAAGAACGTTGAAAACACTGCTAATCTCACTGGTGTTATAACCAGTGCAAAATGTACACACGTAACAAGCAGAACCCAGGCAGCACTGCAGACCTCATGTAATCAAGCAAAGATTTGTTTTTCAATCAAAAGTTTAGCAAATGTACAGTTGATTGTATCATGACCAACCCAAAACAGTGTTACCCACCAACAGCTGATCCATACTTATGGTACTTGAGGTGTGTTGTTTTGATTTGTGATGAGCTGGACAACTCATGAAGTGCAACAGCCCACTGAATTCAGCTATAGTGATGCAGACAGAGCATAGGAAGGTCAGGAGGGGGCAAACTAGCTGGAGTAAGACAGCTCTGCGTCTGGAAACACGGTGTGGGGTTAAAGACTTGCTTGGTGTTGATGTGAAGCACACCTGAGATCTCAGAAGCATCCTGGGTAATTGGAATAACCAGTGCAACCAGTTACTTGCTGCTGCCTGAACACCGGAGAAATTCAGGTGCAAACTCAAGCTCCTGGTTTCAGGTCAGAGCCTGAGTTTTTACTCATCTTTTATTCCTAACACAGGTACCTGCAAAAATCCGGAGACAGGATCCTGTGTGGAATGGCAAGGTGGGATGAGTAAGTGAAAACCCGAGGTGTGAGTGGCGCTGGGGATGTGCATGGATGCGCTGCCTGGTGCCTCCAGGCACCTGAATCCCTGCCTGGCACCCCCCAGGAGGAATTCACCCTTTGCCCTGTGCTGAGAGAGGCACCCGCTGAGCAGTGGCCAAATGAGAGCCTGGCCTGGGGCAGGGCCCTGTGCTCTCAGCCCGAGGCTGGGAGATCCCTGCTTCCTCCTGCCAAAGAAAGTGGTCCTGCAGAGCTGAGCCTGGCTCAGTCCTCCCTGCCTGAGCAAGAGACAGCCGAGGAGCTGGAGGCAGAGGTGTGAGAAGTGTCCCTGCCACGCACATCAGTGGGTGAGAACAGAGGAGCAAAGGCAGACCCTGCACGAGGGCTGCTTGGCTTTCCTGTGGTCACGAGGGTGCCACTTCCTAGAGATGCTCTGGGCTTCTCCCAGGACCCGTGCTGTGCTTCCAGCTCAGCACCCTGCCCTGAGCACAAAACAGAGCAGCAGTTGCAGTGATGCCCATCCCTGTCTCCAGGGACCTGGCAGCTTCTCTTAGGGACACCTTGTTTAGTGTGGGCGATGCAGAAGTCTCATCATATGAGAGCACTCCCTTCTATTCTAGGTTGCTCTGCTTCCTTTTCAAGGAGCTGACTCCAAGAGCCACATCAGCTTGTAAGCAAGCTCCCACTGCAGCTTGCAAACCAGTGCCCCCAATAACTCCTTTATTTCTGATGGCAACACAGCAGCCTTTTCAGTGTGCAGCGCAGCCAAAGCCGACTGGATTGTATGGGGACCATATAGATTCTATTTCCTGTCAGTTTTAGTCTACCTTATTTATAGCCTTTGCAAAATGCTCTGTACTTCAGGCAGCTTAATCCAGAGCCAGGAAACGTGGCTCGTTTGCAGCTTACTGATGCACACAAACGTTGTCCAGATTGCACACTACATTTGACAGCTTTTCCCCAGTTTTCACTTTCACACAGGCTTCACCTTTCCTGTGGATCCCATTCTTCCGTGCAGGGCTCCCTGTCATTGCTTTGTTTTTCTCCTAGAAGCTGCATCCTGACTTGATGGGGATCTATGGACTGGCAGATTCCTACAGCTCATAATGTATCCCATTATGTTTGAACAGGGCTCCCACCTCCAAGCTGCACTCCACAGATGCTCTCATGCTGCCTTGAGTCAATTGTCCCAAAGACGCAAGAACTCGCTTTAAAATCTCCCCCTCTCTTGAGTTCTCCCCCGAGCTGCCTCTTTGCAGTGATTCCCGTTCGCAGTGCCATCTGCTGTCTGGCAGCGCCTTTATTGCTGCCCGGGGCTGCAGCCGGAGAGAACGGACCTGTTTTACCCAGGCAGGCCAGCGGGGTTTGCCTTAACGGAAAGGTCAGAATCGGCTGCACAAGGAGGGGAGAGCCACTGGATCTTCAGCAGTTTGCTGAACTTCAGCTCTGCTGGCAGCCAACCCTTTGTGATTCCCCTGGCTGTTACCCAGCTACAAGGGGGGAGAATGAATTCCCCAATTCCTCTCCCTTCAGTGTGACCTTGAAACATTCAGCTCACTAAAAGACATTCCATCTTGCTCTCCACTTTCCCTATTCTATCCAGTGAAAGGACAAATCCTGTATTTTCATCTCAACACAGTTACTGGTGTATCCATGACTTACTCCAGCACAGATCTGCAGGGATGCACCAAAGCATTCTCACTGTGGGGTCAGCTGCACCATTCAAGGCCAGGCTGGATGTGGTTCTGAGCAGCCTGTCCTAGTGGAAGATGTCCCTGCCCATTGCAGGTGGGTTGGACAAGATGAGCTTTGAAGGTCCCTTCCAACCCCAACTATTCTGTGATTCTGTAATTCCATGAAATCGTTGTATAAAAGACCCCCCCCCCCCCGTTCTCCAGAAATGGCATCTGTGTTCCAGAAGGGACAGAAATGGGTCACGACTTCCTTTACTGGACTGCACATCCTTGGCCTCTCTTGGTGCAGGGCTGCAGCTCCACGTTGGCACAGCCCACACGATGGCACTCGGTCGTAACTCAGCCTCCTGCTTGTGAGGCTGCCCTGCTGCAGCTTGGATTCTCCTCCAGCGTAACCAGGGTAGAGACCCTGCCCTGCTGCCTTGCCTTCACTGTGCGAGCTGAGCTGCGGAGCTGAGCAGCAGGCAAAACCAGGAACCAACAGAGAAGATAAAGAAAACGACCACAGAGAAACCAGATGAACTTTACCATCCCTGTTCACTAAAGGCAATTTGGAGGATGTTTACAAGTGGAACCTTTATTTCTGGCCAAAGTGAACAACATCAAATCTTCACTGTCACACAGTGATCAGCTAAAGAGTTCAATGCAACTCAAGATCCAAAGTGCAATGGTATTAGCAAGGGAGTTCAGTCTCTACTTAAAACTCCTTTGGCACCTGCCATCTTCAAGGCAGCTTCTGTGGTACCAGTTTCCAAAGAGATCTGGGCAGCTGCTTATCCATAGGCCTGATGCCTGTACCTAGCCAGTTTGCAAAGACTAGAATCAACAACAGGATTACTGTACACATAGCAAATAGGGTGTTTTGGGGAACAGTAAAAGCCCAGGCTTTTGCAAAGGTAAGTTATACCTCCGCAATCTGTTGAAGTGATTACAAAAAGCTGATGTGTACTGAGTGAAGGCCAACTGATTTAATTACTTGGACTCTCAAGAGACATTAAGTGATCTGGAAAGTACATGAATGGTGGGGTGCTGACATCTGCTGATGAAACAAAGCTCTTCAGGGTAATAAAGACAAGGACTGACTGTGCAGAGCTGCAAAGACCCTTAGTTAAAAGTGGAAGAAGGAAAACAAGACAGATGCAAAAAGTGAGCAAGAAATTAAAAATGCTGATGCTAGCACTCATGGCTTTGGGATTATGTTAATTGGGACTGTTCTGTGGCTATGGAATCTGATCAGGCTATGGAATGATTAAAAAACCCCAAAGTAAATCTCAGAAATCATTAGGCAAGAAATTGAGACGAGAACAGAAACTATCATTATGCTGCAGTAAAATCAATGGTGCACCCACATCTTCAACACTTTGTGGTTCTGCTCCCTCTGTCTCAAAAAGAACGTATTGGAGTTGTGAAAGCATCAGAAAAAGGCAGCAGGGCTGAGCCATTGTCAGAGAAAGGTGACCGGATTTGATGGACTTTGGTCACTATGGCCATTGTTACGTTCTAAAGTGGAACCTTTGCTCAGTGTCACAAGAATGGTGATTGGGAAGATGGGTTAGCCTTCCTGGTAAAAAACCCAGGGCTTGCAGTGTGAAACAGGAGACTCTTCTGGGTCCCTTTATTGGAAAAGCACACCTCAGGAGAAAAAGCATCTTTAAAGGCAAGGGTGACTCACAGAAAGCGGTTGCTTCCAACAAAATCAAACACTCAGACCTGACAAGTGTTGTTTCTTAGGTCAGGATGCAGGAGCTCAAGAGAGGCTGTTTGACACCAAAGTGTCAGTGTTTCAGGTATATGATGCTCTTGCTCCACAGATTCCTAACCGAGTGACTCTCAGCTCTGTTTCAGATGTACCGGTTGTGAGTGACAGAGGTGGTTCTTCTCGACCGTTCAGAAGAGGCTGGCCTGGTGACTATCTCCTCAGAGAAGTTCACTGTCTTTTTAGCCCTCACAGACGCTCACGGACCATATTCAGGATCTCTTTCAAGAAGGCTTGGGCCTGGCATAAGGTAAGTGACATCCTGGTACTCGTGGGGGGATCTGAGTCAGAGGTCTCAAGGACAAGGGGTAATGGGTTAAAACTTAAGCGGGGGAAGTTTAGATTGGATCAAAGGAAGAAGTTCTTTACTGTGAGGGTGGTGAGGCACTGGAATGGGTTACCCAGGGAGCATGTAAATGCTCCATTCCTGGTGGTGTTCAAGGCCAGGTTGGACAGAGCCTTGGGTGACCTGGTTTAGTGTGAGGTGTCCCTGCCCATGGCAGGGGGGTTGGAACTGGATGATCTGAAGGTCCTTTCCAACCCTAACTACTCCATGATTCTATGATTCTATAAATCTGTCTTTGGATGTTTTCTTCAGGTTTGTAAAGATTTCAGGTTACACCAAGTGAATCTAAAGAAAAGCGTGGCAAGCTTCAATGACCACAACTCTTCTATCCCCATTCTGGACTAAAAAATCTGCTTTCTTTTTCCAGAACCCCTTCACCAGTCTGTTCTTCCTCCTTTGAGGAATCACGACTCCAGAAGTCATTCCCATCATTGACCATGTCAGGAGCATCTCAGTTCTTGGAACATGCTGTGAGCTTCAGTGCCAGCACATTGATTCCTGGTACCCAACACCTGACCTCAGCATTTGAAGACTGAATGTTGAAGAGAAAACCTCACTGCTCTGGAGGAACAAATGGAAACCGAGCTCTGAGCTTTTCAAAAAGAGGTCTTGATTTACAGTTCTGGCACAAATGATGGTTACAGAAGGAATGCAGACAGTATTGGTTTATATCTTGGGTGCTCTGCTAATAAAGTGTCCCTTATCAATATCAAAAATGTGACATTCAGCTAGTAGAGAGGAAGAGAAAATACTCTGGAGGGTGGCTTTGTCCCAAGCACAGGGGCACCAATTACATGCCCACATGTTTCTTTTTCACCGTCTCACTCTTCAGTATTGATGGATGCAGCTTTGCAGATGAGTTGAGAAAGGAGGTGTGCAGAAAAGATAATAAAGAATGATTTAGTCACCTGCATGATGAAAATGAAAACCACCTAAATCCCCACCACTCACAGTACTTGTGATAGTGCTTGTGTTTGTCAGACACCAGAATCATGTCTGGATGATTATGTTTTGCTTCAACAATGATGTCATTGAAGTGATGTGATGGAAAATGTAACTTAGGAGAGCACCTCATCTACTGTGTAAGCCGAAGTTTTCAGCAAGTTAATATTTCTTCCATGTTGGGTTCTAGTATGAAAAGTTCTATTTCAGCAGAAAAGTAAGCATCTTCCCTCAGCATCCCAGAAAGGCTACACTGGGAAGTGAGAAGTGAAATCAGAGCAGAGGATGACTCAGTATAACCACTCTGCAGAGCTCCCCCTCCAGAGCTCAGCAAACAAGTCATTAAATTTCACTGAAGCACTGCTGGCTTTGGATGAAGGGACACTGTTAGGGCTGAAGGTTTCCTTGTCGGTCCTTCTGTCTCTTCTAACTTTGGCAACGGTCCTTGCAAACGTTTTTGTTGTCATTACCATTTTTGTGACTCGAAAGCTCCACACACCTGCGAATTACCTCATCGGCTCCTTGGCAGTGACTGATCTTTTAGTGTCTGTCCTAGTAATGCCCATCAGTATTGCTTACACTGTCACCCACACATGGGCCTTTGGCCAAGTGCTGTGTGATATCTGGTTATCGTCAGACATCACGTGCTGCACGGCCTCAATCCTACACCTCTGTGTCATTGCACTGGACAGATACTGGGCTATCACAGATGCTCTGGAATATGCCAAACGCCGGACCACTGGCCGAGCAGCGCTCATGATTGCTGTGGTCTGGATGATCTCTATCAGCATTTCTGTGCCACCGTTCTTCTGGAGGCAAGTGAAAACTCCTGAAGAACTTGCAAAGTGTACTGTGAACACAGACCAAATTTCCTACACGATTTATTCCACGTGTGGAGCTTTTTACATCCCAACTGTGCTCCTCCTCATCTTGTACGGGAGAATTTATATAGCAGCTCGATCCAGGATCCTGAAGCCACCCTCGTTATGTGGGAAACGCTTTACTACAGCACACCTGATCACTGGCTCTGCTGGGTCTTCCCTCTGCTCCATTAATGCCAGCCTTCATGAAGGGCACTCCCATTCAGGTGGCTCCCCAATATTTATCAATCACGTTAAAATAAAGCTTGCAGACAGCATCCTGGAAAGGAAGAGAATTTCTGCTGCACGGGAAAGGAAAGCCACCAAAACGTTAGGCATTATTCTGGGAGCTTTCATTTTCTGCTGGCTGCCTTTTTTTGTCATGTCCCTAGTGCTGCCCATCTGCCGAGATGCTTGCTGGTTTCATCCCATCCTCCTGGACTTTTTTACATGGTTAGGTTACTTAAACTCCCTGATCAATCCAGTCATTTATACAGCTTTCAATGAAGAATTTAAACAGGCTTTCCAAAAACTAATTCATTTCAAGAAGTGCTCATCTTGAGCCTCTCCTGTCGTGTTACTGACCCTTGTGCAATCGTACAGCCTACCTGGAAACTTCCTGTGCTTTCATTCCTTGAGGTACAGAGCCATAATTGCCATCTCTGCTACTTACCCTATGCTGTGCATGTAACTGGGAACTTCCTGCCCATTTGGTACTTTCTGTCTGGAATCCTCCATCCCATAACAGAACGTGTCTGTGGTCTCTGCAGTGATCATCTGTGTCTATAAGATCAACACATGAAGTAAGCTCGGTAACAAGTGATGGAGCGTGAACCAGAGAGCTGAGTTTGTGTGATGAAATGACACACATTACCCGATTCTTCCATGCCTTTGTAACCTGATGGGAGGAAACGGTGTGTGTAGGTGCAGGACAGTATTCCTGCTGTATTTTACTAACAATTTAGGTAGGCTGAGAAAGCATCTGGAGAACAGGCTCTGATGTCTGCATTTCCTATGGCACCTGCCCTAGCCATCTGACACTGATCAAACCTGTAACTTGGTGTGGTACAGCCTGAGCGAGCAGCAGGGCATATGAGGCACAGCATGCATGCAAGTGCTGTGGGTATTTCACAAATACTGCATTTCCAGCTCTGCTTTGGGTGAACTGTAGAAAGAAGGTTCATTTATTTAAATCATTTTTACACATTTTATCGCTAATAAAATAGCAGAAACACTACAAAATAAATAGCATGAAAATGATGGAAAAGTATTTATTTTTTTTTTTTTTTCCCTGCACAAACTGAAACAGGAAAATATAGTTAGTGCCAGTGTGGAGTAACTGGGACCTCAAAAAAGAGCCAGGAGGTGATGACAAGAAATGGAGAGATAGAGAGGAGAGAATTAAGTGACACATCCAGGTCCACCAGCTCTTCAGCCTCTCATTTACATCTCTTGCAGAGTCTTCAGTTTCCTCCTGTTGCTGGTGCCTCTGCTGAGGACTGGACCATGAAGTGATTGCCCCAGAAACACCCACAGCAGAATCAGAGCAGTTGTACAGTCCTCTCACAGTGCACACTGAGGGCAATTGAGGCTGCCCTGTTTGGGACACAGCTCCTCTCCCCTCCCAAGAGTGAGCTGATACAGCTCAGCCCAGCTCAAGAATTACCTGGCCATGTCCCCCCACTCTGCTTCCAGAGGCTCCACGGCTCCCACTGGCAGTGGTGGTTCTCTCACCTGTGCTCACTCCTTGTGCATTGCCTGGGGACACATGAGCTGACACGGGCCACAGCCCATGTGGGCACTGTGGGCATTCTCCTCCTTTCAACTCAGAGATTATGGGGTGCTACTTATCTTTCATAGGAAGATGATCCACTGCTATTCTTTGGGCTTTTCTAAGACACGGTTCAGTTCAAGAGCAAACAGAATTCACAGCTCAATGCAAGAGGCCCTGTCCTTAATTAGATCACAGGCTAATTAAAAAGGGCACATGGTCTAATATTACACCATTCTTAATGCTGGTAAATATTTGACAAAGTGCTTCAGGAACTCATACTGGAAAAAACAGTAATATGGAACTGGCACGTGAAAACACCAGCTAAGGATCACAAATGAAACACAAATAACAGCCCCTCATCTCGGAGTTGAAAGGAGGAGGTTATCATGGCCCAGAGATCAATGTCCATATTTACCATGTCATTAACGCTCTGTGGATTGCAGTCAGGACACAAATGCACTTCACAGAAGGCACATGGGGGCTGCATGATTTCTAAGTGCCTCTCTGGTGAAGTCCTTGCAATATTGAGCACATAGGTAAGTTAAAAGACCTTTTTTTATTTGTACAGAGGTACCTATTGTGGCTGTCCCACCGTAATATAGGTTTTATTGAAAACACAAGAAAGCCAAAGCATGTCTGCGTGTTCACTGCAGGACCCCACAATTACATTTCAGTGCGGGTTGTTCCTACAGCTGGGGAAGGGGATGAGTGTTAGCGATGAGGAGTCACCATGGCTGAAGGCTGTCAAGACAATGGAAGTGGAAGCTGCTCACTCCTCCCAGGACAAGCCTGAATCTTGCAATATGAAGGGAAGATGATCATGGGCAGTGTGAGCTGAAGCAATACTGCCCCAGGCTTACCAACCCAGAGATGGAGGAGCAAATGTTGTATGTGTAAGACTACTCCCTCTGCAGTAAACCTTAAGAGCCCTTGAAGGAATGCCAGGAGGGGTGGCTGTAGGTACGGTTCCCATGCAATTTCCACTATGCCAACCTGGCTACAGGTCCTCAGTAGCTCTTGTCACTCAGAGGTGAGGAATTCCCAACAGCAGCCACATGCTTCTGCTGAAAACTCCAATGACCAGACACATATTCCATACACTTGTCAGTAACAGGTTCTGCATTTAGGTTTCATCACCAGTGAAACAGAAGGAGGAAATGTAGGTTAATAGGTAATTAAGTCAAGAGAAGGGTTTCCTCCAAGCCGCCTTATTCACATACACACCCCCTCCAGCTTCTGGTGGCAACAGACACATCTTCACAGCAGTTGTGCTGCCAGCATCTTGCTACTGAGAGGGAGGCCCCTTTCCTGAAGGATCCCATAGCAGCTAGTTGCCAGTTGGGCTGCATATAGTTGATATGACCCCTTCAGCCCAACCACCCACCCCGTTTCTCACTCACTTCACACTCCACTTACCCAGTCCCAATGTCACCAACTGGGCTACAAGTAGACAGTTGGGAGACCATGTCATGACAAAGTCAAGGCTACTATCAACCAATACAACACCAAGTGCCCTCCTGTTGTCCACCCAGGCTGTTGCCTCACTGTAGAAGGTAATGAGGTTGGTCATTGGTAAATCCCTGATGGCTGTTTCCAGTCATTTTCTTGTCCTTCACGTGCTTTGAAATAGCTTCCAGAAGGATGTGCTGTCCACTCTTCCAGGGACTGAGTTAAGGCTGACCAGCTGGTAGTTGTGTGGATCCTCACTGCCATTCCTGACAACAGGAATGACATTTATCCTTTCTTCAATCATCAGGAACTTTTCCCAATTACCAGGACCTTTTGAAGATGAGAGAAACCAGTCTTGAGGTTACATTGGCAAGCACCCTCAGCACCCTCAAATGCATCCCTTCTGGTTCCATGTATAGGCCTAATTTAGCTGACATTTTTAAGATGTCTGCTCCAGGAAGGAGTGAAACACCCTCTACACTCCACTGAATTTCATGACAAAGAACCCCAAATACTCTTTGACCAAGAGGAACATAGCAGCTGTATGAACAGAATAAGACAACGACCTGCTTCTGGTGTTGCTTCTTGCTCCTGAGTGCTTTTGTTACTAACCTTGCTATGGCTGCAGGATCCTAAGGGAGGTAATGGTGGTATCCCGCTGATCCTAGGAACAAGAAACAGTTACACACGCAGAGAGAAATAACAAACCAAACCAAACTTACGCTGGTTGCCAGACAGAGTCCTGATAATGCTGTGCCTAGCAAGCTAGACCGCAGCGCTGACCACACAAGCATCCATCTATTCCTTCTCCCTGCTTACTGTGCTTAGGAATGTTCCTAAACCGTGTGTGGCACCTAGCACAGGCTTCAGCTCTGCCAGGAGCTTTTAGAAACCGCTTCAGCGTCAGGAGGTTATCATGACTCTCACGTTATAAATACTTAAAGCCCGAATATCAGGGAATAACAGACGAGGATCCACTTCCACTAAAAAAACAGTAATAATACCAATAAATCCGGTCTGTCTTGGCAGAGATTCCGCTGTGATGGAGAGCCCTGGCTCGGAGAACAGGGGCTGACTGAGCTCACCGAACTGGCACGGCAGCACTCACTCGCTCTGCCTTCCTTTCCTGCCAGCTCAGTGAACGGAACGGGCTCCAGGAGGGAGGCAGCACGGCGGGCTCAGCGCAGACACCTCACTGGGACTCACCATAGAGGCAGCAGGCACGGAGCAGCACCACCACCCGCGGAGCCAGCCCAGGGCCCGGGGAGCCCGAGGGTGACTCCGCCACTGCTGGTCCCCAGGAGCTTGTTTAACCCTGTCCACCCTCCCGCCTCCGGTGCTGGGGGCATCCTGCGGCCGCCCGCCCCTCACCTCCTCACGCCGTGCAGGAGCCCCTTCTGTTGGTTTAAACCTGCGGCCCCCCTGCGGGCTTCGGCCGCTTCCCCACGGTACTCCCGGGTGTTCGTCACCTCCGCGCACCCCCTGCACCCCAACCGCCCGCCCAGCGAGGGCCCCGAGGGGAGGCGGCTGCCGCTCCGCAGGACCCTGTCAGAAGGGATCGCTGCTTTCCGGGCGGCTCCTGCGTGCCCCCGAGCAGAGCGCACCCCACCGCTGCCGTACCCCATCCCCGCCCCTGGGGTGGCGTCTTCCCCCCCTCCTGGTCCCCTTTACTCTTCAGGGTCAGTTGGGTTCCCCCACTTTGATCCTGTTTGTATGGCTTTTATTCAGCACTTCCCAGCTCAGCCAAGCGCTGGATCCCCTTGTTACACCCCCATTGCACTCGCCCCTTTCTGTCCCTCTGCCTGGTGCTGACTGCGCCAAATCCCCATGAATAAACCCCAGAACACTTCCTCCTTCCCCTCCGAGCAGCCAGAGCTTCCTTCCTCCTCCTCTCTCCATCTAGGTCACGTATCCCATTTCCTTCCCTGGGACAGACCTTGCCCATTCTCCAACCTCACACCACCGAGCTCCTTCCGCCGGGGCACCCGCCCCTGTGCCACAAGCACCCGTGCCCCTTCCAACAGCTCCACGTCCCCCTGGTGCTGCAGTCCCAGAGCTGCAGGGTCCCGGTCCCGGTCCCCCCACATCCCTGGCAGCCCTCAGACGGCAGCGCCCACCCAGGCCCAACCCCGGCCCGCTCCCCCCCAAGATGGCCGCCGCGCCCTCCCGTCTCCCCGCGGAGCCGCCCCGCTCCCGCTGACGTCAGAGCACCGCCCGGTCCCGCGGCCCTCCCCTCATTGTCAGCGCCCGCACCCGCCGCCGAGCCCGGAGCCCCCCGCGGGCTGCGGCTGCCCAAGCCCGGGCTGCCCCGCCGGCTGCAGCGCGCCGCGGGCGGCAGGGACGGAACGGAAGGGAAGGGAGGAAGGAGCGAGGCCCGGCCGGCTCCCTCAGGTAGGCAGAGGTGGGCGACGACGGGGCGGGCGGGGGGTGCCGGGGACCGGCGGGGCGGGGAGGAATGTGAGGCATCCGCTTTGTCTCCGCGGACCCAACGCCGCCTTCCGCGCACGGGCGGGCGCGCCGGGCCGGGGCTGACCCCACGGAGGCGCCGCCGCCGCCACCACAGCGCGGGTCGCCCCGGCCCGGCGGCGCCCGCAAAGGGCCTTTGGGCTCCCGCTCGGAAATGGAGCCGCCGCCGGGCTCCTTCCGACGTGACCGGAACAGCCGCTTTCCTGAGCGGAGCGCGGCGCCGTCCCCGCCCGGGAAGGTCGCGGTCTCTCGGGGGCTGCTGAGAGCTGCCTCCGGGGAAAGTCGCAGGCACCGTCGGGGTTCGGTGGGGCTGAGGTTTTGGAGGTTTAGAGGCGCACAACGACTGCGATTGCTGCGGGTACCCTTTTCCAGGCTCCTATTCCATAGGCTCCTTTTCCTGTTGCTTATTTTCCCCTGAATTCCTTTCTTTTTCTCCCCAGCCCACCCACATTTATCTCTATAATGTTCTTTTTATCTGCGAGCTTTTCCGATGCGCTGCCTTTGTTAGTTTTTAGCCGCCTTTGCTCCCCGCCGGTCACGAGGGAATTAATTGATGGAGAATCCCGAAACCCTCCTTTTTTCCCTTCATAAAACTGCTTACAAGTGCCCCTTTTGGCTTCGCCGGGTGTCCCACGTGCTGGCACGCAGAGCGAGTGGGATACCAGACCTGTGCTGGTTGTCCTTGGTGACCGCGCTTCCGTTGCAAATCTGCCTTGTTTTCCCTTCTAATGCTGCATCTGAAGCCTTTAAACCAATTAAACCCAAGTTAAAGCGACCGTCCCAACTAATTGGCGCATTCACGTTAGGCGCAGGGGGATTAAGGGTTTAATTCTGTTAAAAGCACCCACAAAAATCACGGGCGGGAGTGCTCAGCCTTGCAGCGTGTCGGGGTGCTTCCTTCCTGAGCTGCCTGGGGGGGGTGAGCACCTCTCCAAGCGGTGCCACACGGCAATGACAGCGAAAGGGGGAAGTATTTCTACAGCCCTGGAGTAGTCTCAGGCATTCAGGGTTTAGGGGGAAAAAATGCATTTCCTTACCGCATGCCTCCAGTCTCTTGGCAGCGCTGTGCATCTCCTGGCCTGCTGGAGAGCGAGCAGGGGCAGTGTTCCTCAGTGCCTCTGCTCTCTCTGCAATCCCAAAGCCAACAGCCGTGTGCTCTGGGCAGTTACCTGCCCAGCCGGTGTGTCTCGGAGTCTGTGTTGAGTCTGTGGCAGTGAGGGCAGCAGAAAACCATTGTGCTGACCCCCCTCCCAGGGGCTCTGATCCATGGGGAGGGCTGGGGTGCAGGACCCTCCCTGCACAAGGGGCTCCTTTGCCAGGGTTGCATTCTGGCTGCCCCAGGCTGGGCACTGCAGGGAAGAGAGGCCGTGGGGAGTTGATTACTGTGTGCTGTTTGGATGTATGGCTGTAAGGTCTGCAGAGAATGGGGGTAATGGGGTGTGGGAGAGTGATTCCAGAGTGGGCAGGTCCCTGTTAACTAACCTCCACTCTGCTCTGAGCAGCCCTTCAGCCTCAGTGTCCTCCTAGTCCTGTGAATGGTACTGTTTCTTCAGTACAGGGCAGTCTGACCAATTCCTACTTTCTAGGAAGTTAAGGTAAGTTCTGGCTCTTTGCTGTCCCGCTGGCTTTCTCTGTGCTCTGAAAACAGCCCAGCTGAGAATAACTTACTGGATTTCTTCATTTAGCCTGAGTTAGGAAGTGCAGACAAAAATAGCTCTTGTTAAAAACGAATACTCTGAAATGTGGCCATTACCAGAAATGGTAATGTTTAAAAGCCTGGTATGCCTGATGATCTTGACCACGTTATTGTGTTTGTTCAGATGGGTTGGTGATTGCATCTTTGAGCATGACCTTACCATAGGCTCACTGAGGTTATGCTCATCCTCTGGGAAACCTTTCCTTCCCACTGAAGGCTGTGGTCTGTGAGGAACCAGATGATACGTGCCTGCTTCCTCATGGAAGCTGTGCAAGAAGTGTGGCTGGTGTGACTGAGCCATATGACAAAAAAGAAAACCTTTATACAATTGTTACATGAAAATGAAGCAAATAATCTTTTTAGGAGGCCATTTGGATTGGAAGATTCACATGATGGTCTAGCAGCAGTAGTATGGTTTGCACTAACTAGTGCAGTGAAGGTGGTGGGAACCCTTAAAACATATTGGAAGGGAGAGCACTAGTTGTGGTTATGGCTTTGTTAGTTACAGTCTCAGTTTTTCTGCCCTGGGTAATGTTTGGATCTGCACATGTGAAATAGAAAGCACAAGTGTCTTCAAATGCTTGGTGACAGCTGATGAGCAAGTGTTGCTTGCCAGTACTTCCTGTATCCTTGGTGCTGGTGGTCTGCTTCATCCTTCCATACTGTCACTCCCTCTGCTTCAGGCAGGTTGCATCTTTGTAGAGCGTTGAGTCCTTTGATCTCCTCCCCATAGTCACCGAAGGAGGGACTCATCTCCCTGTCCATAGTGGTTTGCCAGGGTAGCAGGGGAAGGCAGCCTTCTGCTGGTGGTGACTGTGGCCACCCACTGCAGACACTGTGGACAATCACATCCCTCTGGATTTGAGGCTTTAGAGCTGGTGACAGAATCACTTTGGTGGGAAGCCCACAAGCTGTTTGCCTTTAATTGTCCAGGTTTAGGAGCCTTCATAACCACCCTGACTTGGAGAGGGCAGTGTGGGTGTGCCTTTCCCATGGACCCAGTGGGGTTTGGGTTGATTCAGCAGCCTGACAATCCGAGTGCCTTTCGATCTGATCAAGTATGAGGTGTGGCATTGCGTGTCAGCCACCAAAGCATGGCGGTTTAGGCCTTAATCTTCTTGTGTCCCTGGCTACCTTCTTAGGTTTTGGCAGTGATGTTCCCCTGCTGAGGCCCTCATCGTGGCAGATAAAGGGTTATAAGGCACCGTTCAGCCCCGTGTTCTTTAACCTCACCAGGGTGGAGTAAGATACGCAGGTGCAACAACCAGCCTTACCCAAGCGCACCGCCTGTGTGCACACAGGGGCATAAACACCATGCACGGGCAGTTCTGTGTTTCCTTCTCTGTACAACACAGCTGAGGCTATTTTGGTGCTTTCTCACAGTGGCTTGTGCAGCAAATTGAACGTTTGCACTCCTGAACGTTGAGGTTCTCACAGGAGCACAATGCAGGAAGGTGGATGCACGGTAAAGGGCTGAAAGGAGAGAGGGTGGTTAGAAAAAATGAGTTCTGCTGTTATACATAGTGATCAGCTTCTGCTGTGGCCTCTTGCCAGAAGAGGTGTGCCAGTGGTGGAATCCACTAGGATCCACCCAGGAGCCCAAAGAGTGAAATGGGTAATTTATCCGCTTAGGAACAAGGTTTCCAAAATACGCAGCTATAAAGTGCAAGGAAACAGCAGCTGATAACGTTTGTTTCTATGTGACAGTGGGCAGGTGAGAGCGGCTGCTTGCTGCTGCAACTGTCAGCTCGCAGGAGAGACAGGGATTCCACATCCTCTCAGTCATGGCTTTGGGAAGCACTGCATCTGTGAGGGTGGGCTCTGTGGCTGGAGGAGGTGGGTTTGTCTTTCCACTCATCCCAGCTGCTTCTCATAGAACTCCAGCCTGGTTTGGGTTGAAGGGACCTTAAGGCTCCTCCAGCTCCAACCCCTGCCACAGGCAGGGACCCCTTCCACTGGAGCAGCTTGCTCCAAGCCCCTGTGTCCAACCTGGCCTTGAGCACTGCCAGGGATGGGGCAGCCACAGCTTCTCTGGGCACCCTGTGCCAGCGCCTCAGCACCCTCACAGGGAAGAGCTTCTGCCTAAGAGCTCAGCTCAGTCTCCCCTCGGGCAGGTTCAAGCCATTCCCCTTGGCCTGTCCCTACAGGCCCTTGTCCCAAGCCCCTCTCCAGGTTTCCTGCAGCCCCTTTAGGCACTGGAGCTGCTCTAAGGTCTCCCCTTCAGGAGCCTTCTCTTCTCCAGGCTGCCCCAGCCCAGCTCTTTCAGCCTGGCTCCAGAGCAGAGCTGCTCCAGCCCTCGCAGCAGCTCCATGGCCTCCTCTGGCCTCGCTCCAGCAGCTCCACGTCCCTCTTGTGCTGCTGCCCCAGAGCTGGATCACGACTGAAGGGGAGTTCTCCCCTAACCATCAACCCTTTGCCCCCCATCCTCTTTAACCCTGCCCAGTTCCCAGCCTGGTTGCAAGGTTGCTTTTATGTGGCCAGGATTGAGAAGCACAGGGCTAGGAGGAGGCAGGTGAGGTGCAGAGCCACCTAAAATGACCCTAAAACTTCAGACAGAGGATCTGGTCCAAAGCCTGTGAGATCACTTGTGCAGTGCTAGCATCCCCCGAGCACAGGAGGTATTGCTGCCTGTGTTTCTAACTCTCCACCAACTTGCTTTCATGGTGACTTTGGCCATGCTGCCTTTGCAGGCTTCCTTCTCACACAAAGCACTGCCCAGGTTTGGAAAAGTTCCTGTATTTCTTAAGTCCCAGCAATTTTGGCCGTTTTGGTCCAGAGCTTCGCTGGATTGGGCAAACCTGAAGTATCTGTTCTCAAAGGCACCTCAGGGCTGCATCATCCGGGGTCTGATCAGCTGTACTCAGCTTGGGGCAGCAGAGTTCACTGGACTTGTGTGTGTCAGTACGTTGTGTGAGCCGGATGCTTCTGTGTCACTGCTCCTTGGCCTGCCACAGCATAACACCATGAGCCACCTCATCCCCTGTGCTGCCCTGGCCCTCGGGGAGCTGCTTGTCCACAGCTCAGGTTTGTGATGTCAGATTGCAAACTCGATGGCTGGGGGAGTGTTGGTGAATATAAATAACATTTATATGAACTCGTGTTCCTTGGATGGATCTGTGATCCTTTGGCTCAGGAGTAGCAGGACAGATTTCATTTGGGCACCTTGCAAACGGCGCTTGTGGCCAAGACTGGACACGCATCCTTGAGCGTGAGCTGCACAGCTCTGAGAAAGGAGGAGATGAAAACTTCTTAGCTCTGGTAGGAGCTGGCTTTGATGGTTAATGTTACAGACCCCCTGCAGCTTGGGGCTCATGTATGAGGATGTATGGTAGGAGAGAAGAGCATCGGCTCCTGCAAGCAGGTGATGTGAAAGGGCTGCACCATGCAGAGTGGTCCTCCTGGCATATCACCTTTGCTGCAGGACAGCAGCTCTCCCACTCTGGGAGGCAGCACATAGAAGGTCAGCCCAGCACTGTGCCTGGATGCTCCAGGGATGGAGGAACAGGCAACAGCCAGGACACTGCATTGGAAGTGCCAGTGCCACAGTAGGAAAAAGGTGGAGGAGGGACAAAAGAGTGAGCATGTTGCTGTGACGTGGTCAGACCTGTGTTTATGCTTACAGAATGGTTTGGATTGGAAGGGACTATAAAGATCATCTAGTTCCAACCCCTTGCCACAGGCTGGGACATGATCATATTGGCTTCAAACTTAAACAGGGGAAGATTAGGTTAGATATAAGGAAGTTCTTTACTGTGAGGGTGGTGAGGCCCTTGAATGGGTTGCCAAGGAAGTTGTGAATGCTCCATCCCTGGCAGTGTTCAAAGCCAGGTTGGACAGAGCCTTGGGTGACCTGGTTTAGTGTGAGGTGTCCCTGCCCGTGGCATGATCTTAAGGTCCTTTCCAACCCTAACTATTCTGTGGTTCTATCTTAAGTTCCTTTCCAACCTTAACTGTTCTATGGTTCTATCTTAGGGTCTGAACTATGATTCTATATATGTGTAGGAGTGTTATAACTGACCTCTAAAGTGGTAGAGGTCATCTTAAGCTGAAAATGTGCCTTTTTATGAGCCTCATTATGATGAGCATAAGCTCAGATAACTTTTTGATTAGCTTGACCACGTTTCTCTTTACCTTGAACCTTTACTTTTTGTGTTCTCCTCTGTTTTCTCATGTGATCCAGATGCTTGCATGAGGGTAAAACACCTTGGGGCTGTGCAGGGTGGGTTCCTGGCAGCACAGCTCTCTGTGCTTCCTGCTGTCATCAGCTCTGCCACCCCATGCTGCATGCAGCACGCCATCGGACAGCCAGGAATGACAGATTTTGCTGCAGTGCTACACCCTCATTACGTGTTGCAGCAGAATCTGTCAGACTTTGTTTTCAGGGTCATTCTCCAAATTGCTTTCATATAACTTACTTGTCAAATGCGTTCTCTGGGGTTTCAGCTACAACTGGCCTGTGGCTTCCCACTTGGGTTGGTTTGAAAATCACAGCATGTTTCCAAAGCTGAAAGGAGGCTGCAGAGGTTCCAAGCCTGCGCTGATCATCTGATTCCACTGCAGCACTTTCAGCTGCTTGTGCCTTTGAGGTGCCTGTACCTCACGTGGGAGTGCAGTGGGTTACCTTAAAGGGAAAATCTGATGAAACTGCTTCAAGAACTTGTTGTTACATGCGATATCTTAGTGGAATTTACCAGCATAGAAAGGAGATTCCTGACCTAGGATCTGGAACATTGCTGCAAAAACAGTAATTCCTCAGGTAGTGTGAATCATTTGGAAATAAGTCTGGTTTTACTGGAAAACAATAATTCCTGTGTGATAGTAGATGTTAGTGCTGCATTGTGGTGAGAATTTGAACTTGGCACGTTGAGAGATCCTAATGAATCTTCTCCCTCCATTGTTTGTATGCCATTCTGTGTAGCTACTGTTTGGGATTGGTTTTGGTGTTGTTAAGTGTGATTAATGCCTTAGCATAAAGGTATCCTGTGTAACACGTGGATATTGATGTTTCTGTGTGAAATTTGGCTGTAGTGTGTTATACACTGCCTGCATATGCTCTTAACTCCTCTGGATGTTGCTTTCAGATAGCTTTTTGCGCCGGGCAGAGCATAGCAACGAGCAGCACAGTTTGGAACAGGGCGTTTCTTTTTGCCTGCAATGAACTGTCACAGAGGTACTGTGAAGGGGAGGGTGAATATCCTGAGTGTTTTGGGAAAACTGTGGCACTGTGTGTGAAGGTGAACGTGGGAGCAATGCTGTGGAGGTGGTGAGACGTCTCTTTGGGTGCTGCGTCTCTGCAGAGCGTAGATGGCAAATGAGCTCCTGAGAAGTGAGTGTGAAATAGCTGGGATGGATGGATGTGAAATGGATGTGAGGCTGGCAAAGCAGCAACTGCTGAGTGCAGGCAGTCATGCCCTGCTGACTGCCTTGGTTGCTGTGTGGCACTCCTTGAGCCTCAGTAACCTTCCCTGCATCTCTCCCCAGCAGCAGCAGTGGCAAGCCCCACTCTGTAGCTTGCTTTCCCTGACTGTCTTACAGCAGGAACATGCTCCCAAGCCCTTACCAACAGATCATCTCTAGTCCCATTTTCCTCATTGAGCTGATTTGCAGAGTGGGGCTTTCCTTCCCCACCCCTCTCTTTCCTCTTTTTTTAGGGATCTCTTGCCTGTGTGCCTCCAGTGACTGCTGCAGCATCTGGCTGGGAGTGCTCAGCACATTCCTTGCCTCGGAGCCCAGCTGTGCTGTGTGTGAGCTGGTGGGACACAGGGCACCTCTCCTCTGCAAAAGCAGGTCTGATGGCAACAAGTTGGTCAGGGTCAGCAAAGTCTTGGTGGCCCAGCAGTGCCTGCATCTGGGGCAGTGTGAGTAACAGCACAGTGGGCAGGTCAAGGGGGGAGGTTGTTCTCTTGCAGTCAATAGCGGTGAGGTGGTGTCTGCAGTGTCGTCAGAGGTGAATTTTCCACTGGAGCAGCTTGCTCCAAGCCCCTGTGTCCAACCTGGCCTTGAGCACTGCCAGGGATGGGGCAGCCACAGCTTCTCTGGGCACCCTGTGGCAGCGCCTCAGCACCCTCAGAGTGAAAGATAGGTTCTTTATGTCCGATCTAAGTCTTACCATGTTTCAGTTTAAAACAAGTGTCTCTTGACCTGTCACTGCAGGCTGTAGTAAAAAGCCTCTCTATATCTTTCTTATAACCCCCCCTTTATATATTGAAAGGCCACAAGAAGGTCTCCCCAGACTCTTCTCTTTTCCAGGCTGAACAACCCCAACTCTCTCAGTCTGTCTTCACAGGAGAAGTGTTCCAGACCAGACCACTTCTGTGGCTTCCTGTAGACCTGCTGTATTCTTTCTGTGGACCCCATAGCTGGATCCAGTACTCTAGGTGGGGTCTCATGGGAGTGGAGTAGAATGGAAGAATCACCTCCCTTGACCTGCTGGCCCCACTTCACATTAATGCAGCCCAGGACACAGTTGGCTTTCTGGGCTACAAACACATGTAGCCGGTTCATCTCTAATTTCTTATCCACCCGTAACCCCCATCTCTTTCTCTGCAGGGCTGCCCTCGATGCATCCATCCTTCCCCCAGTCTATACTGATGCTGGGGATTGCCCTGACCAAGGTGCAGCAAGTTGAAACGTGGTAAATTCTGACTGCACGTAAAGGAAAATAATCTTCCCTGTGAGCTTGGTCCAACGTGGGAACAGGGCTCCAGGCCCTGTGGTATCCCTGACCTTGGAGACGTTCAGAATTTGATACAGTCCTGAGCTACCTGCTCAAGCTTTTGACATTAACTCCACGTGGAGCAGGAGCTGGACGAGGTTCTGTAACACTTGGGGTTAATTTCCACCCCCTTACTAGCAATGGCGATAGAAAATGTGGGTTTCCCACTCCTTGCCTCCTCTGTAGAAAGGAACAGTGTGGTGGGGGAAGTGGTGTGGTCCTGTCTCAGTACAGCCAAGCCAGTCCTTCCTTCCTGTGAAACATCCTTCCTTCCTTCAGTCCAGGCAGTACAAGGGGGAAAGCACACATAAATAACAGCATGATGGAGCAAAGTTAGCCAGCCATGCTTGGAAAAGGGCTGGAGGGAGACCCTCTGCTGCTCTTTGTGACTTAGGCTCTAGTTTTGCACTCTCCACGTTGTTAAACGTGTTGTAAGGAAGGCATGTGCCCTGTTAGCTCTGGTCTTCATTTAGGATGGGATTCAGATAAATTAATGCTTGGCATTAAGCCCGCAGGTTTCCTCATTAGCATCTCGTGTAATGCTTGCAGGAGAACACGTGCTTCAAGAGCAATAACATTTGTCTGTTTTCTGTCCAGAGTACCTCTTGTCCATTAGATACCAGCAGACTTAAAAGCAAATGCAGGCTTGGCCCACATAACTGCTTCTTTCTTGTTAATAAGTGTATTCCAAGACTGTTGGACTTCTAGCAGTGTGAAACTGAGAATATGGGACTAAATCCTCCCCTGATAGTCATGGCACCTTTAAAGGTTGGCACCTTTAACCCTTTCATGCCCTATGGACAAGAGTCTGGTAGGAGCTGGATGAACTGAAGTTGGTGAAGAGCACAGGGAGTAAGGGGTTCAAACTTAAACAGGGGAGATTTAGGTTCTTCCCTGTGAGGGTGCTGAGGCGCTGGCACAGGGTGCCCAGAGAAGCTGTGGCTGCCCCATCCCTGGCAGTGCTCAAGGCCAGGTTGGACACAGGGGCTTGGAGCAAGCTGCTCCAGTGGAAGAGGTCCCTGCCCGTGGCAGGGGTTGGAAGTGGATGATCTTAAAGTTCTTTCCAGCCCAGGCCATTCTGTGATTCAGGCCTGTCTGTGAGAGAAGTGCGAATCAGCACCTTCCTGATGGAAATGCTGTCCCACACCACTTAGTCCCTAACAGGTTCTTAGCTGCGTAATGAAGGAGGCAGCTGGATGCTCAGGATGATCTTCTCCCTTGGATATTATGGCTGTTCTTCTCCTTTGTCAGTGCCCACTCTTGTCAAAGGAGTCACTTTATGCAAACAAATGGGGAATAACTCCATCCCACTTCTGGGAAAAGGGACCAGAAACCAGGTATCCCTCTGCCATCTCTTTCTGCGTTGAGAATAGCGTCTACTGGATTCCCTGGCCGGTCAGCAGACCTTGGACCTCTAACTTGCGGAGGGCACCGAGTGTTTAAGTCCCCACAGCTACGAGTGTGCTCTCAGAAAGCTGAGCTCCTTAAAAGATCCAGGCTGTGATCCGTTTGTCAATGTTGTTTTCTTTACTTTTGTGATACCTGAGGCTATTGTCAGCAATAAATTGGACACAGAAGACTCCTGTTAGAGTCTTCCGATCCACCCATCTGTCTTCATTGAATAAATCACATGTAAGAGAGTGACATAAACTCTCGAATACCTCCTTTGAGTTGACTTTGCACATGCCAGTCAACCAAAAAGATAGGTTTTGAAGCTGCAGGGTGGGAACTCGGAGGGGGAACACAATGCCTGTTGTTAGAAGGGGGTGTGAGATCACAGTGAATGTTCGTGGCACAGCCAGGGGACAGGGAGAGTTTGTGTTGGGAGGCTTTGGAGAGTACTCGCAGTGGGTTAGCCAGCCAGCCTGCAGTTACCTCAGGGATGATGCTGCTGGTGCAGGGGCTGCATGGTGTAACCCAAGCCACCAGCCTTCATACCAGAGGCATTTCAAATGGCTGACTGACTCCTCCTGGCCTCTTCCTGCCAGTGGCGTTAATCCCTGCTGTTCCCCAGCTGCCTGAGCAGAGGGATGCTGCTAGTCATACAAACATGGCATGTTAAGGGTTAGAAGGGACCTTAGAGATCGTCTCATCTCATCTTTCCCCTCTCTAACCAATGCTTGCATTTGCACTGGGGAAGCTTCAGATGTCAGCTTCTCGCAGCTGAGCCGAGGGAAGCAGCAGCAGGAGGAGTGTACTCTGAAGGGGGGTCCCCCCAGCAAGAACCTTCCAGAGCCCTGGGGTAAAACTGACTGATTTTGGGTGTTTTGATGAGTGTGTTTCTTCTAGTGGCAGGGTTGTTCTGTTCAGTGGGTGGCTCGCAATGCTAATGGTTCACCTATGCTTGAATGTTGAATTTTATCAGAGCAGTTAGTCCTGGATGTCTGCTGAGGGTTATGAAGTTAAAGAGCTCTTAGAAAAGATTCATGCAAAGTTAAGGCTTAGACATCTATTTGAATCTGCATGATCAGTTTGAGCTCAGGTCCCAGTTTATTTCCTGGTGGTGCCGGGCTTGCTCAGGACGAGTTCCTGCGTGCATGGAGTGGAAGGAAGTGCAGGGTGCAGTATGCAGAGAGGACAGGGCACCTTTCCCGGAATGGAGCTAAAAGTTGGCTGTTTGTTTAAGCTGTTCCCAAAAGATTTTCCTTTCCTAGTGCTAAGGAGTCCTCAAGGACAGTCCTGAGCCATGGATCACCATCGTCAGTGCAGCTTTAGGTTTGTCTGGTTCTTGGCACTGCTTGGCCTGGACCTTCCTTGGCAGCTCCTGGGGATGGCTCATGAGTTAGCAAGGGCTGTCCCATTTGGAGACAGAGCAGGTTTAAGGGGGCAGGGGGGCCTTGGTGCAGAGGACAGACGTAAGCGAGGCTCACACATTGATAGAGGTGTACCTCTAAGTGCTGTCTTTGGTGAGCAGCATGAGAGTGCAGACTCCAAGGGCCCATTCATCTACCTGCCCTTAGGCAGCAAACTGGGATCAGGGTGAAGGATGAGACCTTCAAGAGATCATCAAGTCCAGCCATTTCCCCAGGACTTCCAAGTCC